TATTACAATAGAGAACATTTCTAAGTGCCTTATAATAGAAAATATTTCTAGTTGCCTAATATTATAAGAGAACATTTCTAGGTGCCTAATATTAGAGAATATTTCTAGGTGCCTTGTTATAGAAAATATTGCTAGGTGCCCAATATTATAATATAAAATATTTCTAGGTGTCTAATATTAGAACATTTCTAGGTGCCTAATATTAGAACATTTCTTCCAACTTTATCATTATTATTATTATTATTATTATTATTATTATTATTATTATTATTATTATTATTATTATAGAATATTTCTAGGTGCCTTATAATAGAAAATATTTCTAGGTGCCTAATATGAGAGAATATTTCTAGGTGCTTTATAATAGAAAATATTTCTAGCTGCCTAATATTAGAATATTTCTAGGTGCCTAATATTAGAGAATATTTCTAGGTGCCTAATATTATAATAGAAAATATTTCTAGGTGCCGAATATTAGAGAGAACATTTCTAGGTGCCTAATATTACAATAGAGAACATTTCTAGGTGCCTGATATTAGAACATTTCTAGGTGCCTTATTATAGAAAATATTTCTAGGTGCCTAATATGAGATAATATTTCTAGATGCCTAATATTATAAAAATATTTCTAGGTGTCTAATATTACAATAGAGAACATTTCTAGGTGCCTATTATAATAGAGAACATTTATAGCTAAGGTTAAAATGCACGGTTCGTTTGCTTGCAGATGTTTCTTCCATATACTGATGAAGTTCCCCAGATGGGTAATGGGACGTCTGCAAGAAAACAACCAGCTCAGAGCACCAAGGGCCTCAAAGCTTATAAGCTACTGTTAGATAGGGCCATTTTGCCTAGAAATCTTGAATTAATAACAGAATAATAGAGCTGGAAAGGGACCCTTGGAGGTCATAAGATGACAACCTTTATTGTCATTTTTTTTTACTGAGGGCACACTGGCACACATTAAAAATGAAATTCTGTTTGAGAGCAAGCAACAATTTCATTTTAATTTACTAGTTTTTTTAAAAAAAGTCTAAATGAGAATCCAGCTTGTGAACTAAAGAATTCATGCTAAACCAGATCTGTTTCTTTAATCCTCAAATAACTCTGTGAAAGGTTGTTTGCAAACACCTGTTTATGGGAGAGTAGCTCAGATGTTAGTAGATCTTTCTGCCTCCTTGCTATCAATATATGATACTTCTCTGAGGAGAGTAATGCTAATAGTTTATCCTAGAGAAGTCAATGTGTGTGGTTATTAAGAATGAACACTGGCTTAATGGCAAATACAGTGATATAAAATCAAGGTGGATTTGATTTAAATCAAGATTTAAATCATTTAAATCTTGATTTATATCACTAGTGAAATGGCTTGATTTAAATCAACTCGATTTAAATCATAATTTTTGAAGAGCAACTGTCATCTCTGTCCCTCAGCAGCTCCTCTGACTCACTGACAGTCCCATTCACTTTAATGGGATGGCTGGTGATGCGACAGTGACACAACAAGGTGAGGGACGTGGTGGGCAGCAGGTGAGTGGATGCCTACTAACAGGTGCTGCCATGATGAATCTGAAATGACAAGTGCTCTTTAAATGTAAGGACTCATTCCTCTTGGTAGTTAGAATCTTTAATATTATTTGTAAATAAAATGAACGTTCCCTATTTAGAATAATATGCTGTCAGGTTAGTAAAACAGCGATATCAGAACCGATTTTAGGTTAATCGCACATAGTTGGAGAACTACTCAAATTCTTTTATTTAATTAAAACACTTAGAGCCTGGTACAGATGCATTTCTCTTCAAACAATCATACAGTTTGTAGTGTACATAGATTTGCAAAACAATGGGATAAAGGAATATTCCTGAACTTTGATTCACGATTTAACTCACAGTCACTGTGAAATTGTGTGAATGCATCAATGCAGTGCATGTTATCTCAGCTTGCAGAGCTTGGATTTATTGAATGAGTTTACCAAAAATGTAAATATTGCAGAATATACAGCCTCCTGCTACATAACTAAGCTCCATTTCATGCTGAATAAACTAAATTATTAATGTATCTTAAATAGAAAACTATATTTAGGTAGATTTTTACTCCAAAAGCATTTTATTAACGATAAAAAGATCCAATTTAAATAAATAACTGATTTAAATTAAAAAATTGATTTTTTTTTTTTTAAAAATCATCAATTATCATCCACCCTGTCTAAAATGTTGACCCTCTCTTCTTTATAAGTATTTATGGTCCTCATTCAGTGTTATTAACTGACTCTGCAATCTAGACCAAGTTAGTTGGGCTTTGTGATTAATTTGCAATTAATCAAAAGTCTGCATGACTGAACAGAGATTTGAACCTGGACCTCTAATCCTTGCAGTGGTCTCGTGAGCCTGTTTGACTTGAGACTTAATGAGATTTGGGAAAGTGACACATTATTTCCTCGTATAGGGCGAGGGTAGAAAGACACACTTTGGCACTCTTCTCTGTAAAAAGGACCAAACTTTGCTTGAGTTAGGGACCTGGGAATTTTGTGTCAAATGTTAGAGCTATAACTATAGAGGTATTATCTCCGTGCTTTATTTAAAATTACTGTAGCTTGAATTAAAGGCCTGATACTTTGCAATAAAAATCCAAGGGGTAGCAGAAGATTAAGTTTAACCAGTCACAATTTGTTACAATTTCTGTTATCTCCAAGATAGATCTATTAGTTCAGCATTTCTCTCATAAAAAAGCATCTTATGTCTGTCTTGAACACAACAAAACCTATTTTTGATACATACAAAATTGGGATTAGAAAGTATTTTTTTTTATAAAAAAAAATAGCTGCGTCAAATAAGAGGTTTAATGTAAGAAATGTGTATGCCGTGCTGTTTAATAGTTTATAATAAACAATAAAAAAAAAACACTACTTCCATTGCTGGTGGTTTACAAGAAAAGATTGGATAATCATTTGTCCAAGATGGAATAAGGACTCCTGCCTTGGGCAGGGGGTTGGACTAGATAACCTCCAAGGTCCCTTCCAGCCCTATGATTCTACTTTAATTAGAAGGTGGGGGGGGAAGTCATGAATGGATTTCAGTATTTTGTATACGACTCTTCAGTCGATGGGGGCAGGGCTTTTCAACCAGTGGTACGGGTACTACCTGTGGTACATGGGCACCTGGCAGGTGGTACGCGACCATCCTAGAAAAGTGGTAGCGGGGGAGGGGAATGAGCTGAACCGGTGGCAGCACCGCACAAGCCTGAGCGAGAGACGGCTGGAGCTGCAGGGCTGTCAGGGCTCAGCGGAAGCGCCAGGATCCAGCTGGAGCTCGGCGCTGATCCTGGTGCTTCTGCTGTCCTGAAAAAGTACCAATCAGCTGGAAAGCAGCACTGATCCTGGTGCTTCTGCTGAGCCCAGACGAAGCGCCGATCAGCTGGAATATTGCAGCCTCTCTAGGGTCTTGTGATTTCCATTCAGATGCTTGGCAACGGATTCCTATTTATGACGGTCACAGTGTCCCAGGGTCACGTGAAGTGACCAAAACCTGCTGCAACCACCCAGCAGATGGGGGGAATAAAAACCAAACACCCCCCACCCCACCCCCGCTGCCAATCCTCAACAGAAATGCTCACAACAATGAAAACCTCGGACAGGAGGAAGAGCGCCGCCGGGTGGGCAGGCGGGTGTCTTGCTCGGCTGTGGTTTGGGGAGCACTTTGTTCAGTGCCATTGTAACTTCAAACAGTCACTAAGCGAACTGTTGTAAGTCGAGGACTACCTGTACTTTATCACTTTTTTCCTTTTTGGGGAAGGGTCATCAAGTTTTTGACCCCTTGCTAGGCGACTGGTGGTACTCGGATATTGCCATATCCTAAAAGTGGTACAATGGGTGAAAAGGTTGAAAAGCCCTGGATGGGGGTAAGCAACAGTCTAGGCCAGGGGTAGGCAACCTTGGCTCTTTTATGACTTGTGGACTTCAACTCCCAGAATTCCTGAGCCAGCATAGCCCTGGGCTGCGGAGGTTACCATTATTTTTCCGTGTATAAGACGCAGCTGCTTTTTGAAGAGGGTGTTTGCAGGAAAAAATAGCGTCTTATACACGGAAAAATACGGTAATAGGAAAAATAAGGGAGGGAAAAAGGAAAGAGAAAAGTCTAGAGAAGAAAGAAAGAAAGGTTTTTGACTTTCGGCTCCCTTTGGTGCAGCAGTATAAGAAGTAACATCAAACCTCAACTTTTCACTTTTACCTAGTAGTATAAACTACTCATTTCTATAACAACAGATCTAATCAGTAAAACCCAAAATCAAAGTTTCATTTTTTTCCGCCTCAAACACAAAGTCCAGAAGCGGTTTCCAAGCAGAAACAAAAGTACTTTTTTTTCTTTTATCAAAGCAATCAATTTGGATATCTGCTAACTCCATCAGATTCTGCAGCTACTTGTCCATTGTGGGGATCAAAGCGTCCTTCCATTTTTGTGCATAAAGTCATCTTATTGCCAGCAACATATATAACATCAGAGTGCCAATTTTTTCCCCCCAAGTCTCCATTAAACTCAGAAGAAAAGTTTCTGCTTTTATCTTTGTATTCACTTTAAGAATCTTCTTTATTAGAATATGAATCCTACTCCAATATTTTTTTGCTTTATTGTTTATTGCATGTCCACCATAAATGATAAAAAGTCCCTTGTTCACATTTGTATTTCCAGCATTCAATTGAAATACCTTTATGCATTCTTGATAACTTATCTGGTGTTAAATACCAACGATACATCATCTTATAAATTTTTTCTTTTAAGTTGTAATTTAGTGTACATTTTAAACCTTTCGTCCACATATTCTCCCGTCGTTCCAAGTTTTACATTATATCCAAAGTTCCTTGCCCACTGAATCGTGCAATGCTTTACATATTCACTTTCCAAATTCAAATTCAGTAAGGTTTTATAGACCTCAGTCATGATATGTTCATCGCTACCACACAGTAGGATTTCCAATTCATTTTTAACAGAGTCAAACCCATAACTGTAATGGTTATGTGAAAATAATACCCCAGACTTAAAAAAAAATCCCAACTCTGGAAGAGTGCTACAGTTTCCTTGCTGAAAGACCTTTTCTGTTTAACTTAGGCATGTATTTCTTCCACTGTCAGCTCCAGTGAATTTTACTTCCTTTTTTCTCACCACTGAGCATGAAACAGGCTTTTGTGCCTGGGGAAATTGATGTCAATTAGCATTGGTTCCGTAGTGTACGTGTGCGGAATGGAAAGGGCAGGGTAGGACTCCCAGTATGGTATTATTTCCAGAATAAATTGGAAGACATTCTTGCTGAAAGTTCTTGTTATTCCTTCCCTCTGTGTGTGTGTGTGTGTGTGTGTGTGTGTGTGTGTGTGTATCAGAAAATAAAAATAGCACTTTAGTGACTCACCCCAAGGAAGATTCTATGGTCTAGTTCAAAATCTTTGTATCCGCTAGCAGTTTTGCTGAAAATCCTCCATAGAGATAAATTTGTATTGCTTTAAATTGTGATGTCACGCAAGCATATCCGGAGGAAGAAGAAAGAATCTGCTTTTGAGCTGTGTTTGGGAATCTGTTGTTGAATGTCTAGAGCAGGGGTTGTCCAACCTTGGCAACTTTTAAGACCTGTGGACTTCAACCTAGAGAAGCCACAAGAAGTGATCCTATAGTGCAAAGGCCTTGCCCTAAAACTGACTCTTCTCCCAAGAGGGATTTGATTTTACTAAGACATTCCTTGGCCAGCCTGATTGATAACCATTCATTCATTCATTCATTTATTTTGTTTGTATTTCTACCAAGTGACTGGTTTCTCAGGCAGCAGTCTAAAACCATTTCACATGAAAGAAAGACCGAATTGGAGGTATCCTGCATATAAAGCTACTGCCCCTTGATTATCAGGCAGCGGGAGCCACCTAGAAACCAGGTGACTCTGAGTTCTAGTCCTGCTTTAAGCTCAAAGCCAGTTGGGTGATCTTGAGTCAGCCAGTCACTCACTCTCAGCTCTAGGAAAAAGACAGAGGCAAACCACTTTGGAAATCCTGCCAAGACAACTTCAGGGGCTTGTCCAGTCAGTCGCCAGGGGTCAAACCCTGACTTTTGGGCACTTCTCTCCAGTTGTGAACCGGTGTAAATCTGCCTTTGTGCCTGACAGATTGAGCCTGTGCAAAGAAAATTTAAACCACGTACCTGTTATTTACGTAGTGGTGAAAAAGGGAGCGTTCTGCTGAACTGGGCTTTTAAGAAGCATATGATTTAACTGCAGCTATGTGTAGCCGTGAAGGAGAAATGTAGAGAGTTAGCGTGTTAGCAACGCAGGCGTTCTAGTGACAAATCCTTACGTAGGTTGGAGAAATGGCTCGCTTGTGCCTCAAATTCATATCGGACGTGGAGAAACGGAGCCGAATTTTGTGGAAACGAGCAGAAGTGATTGCAAGGAGCATCTGGTTGGCGTCGTGACTTCGTTCTGTTGCAAATAGCAACGTTTCATCTTTTCGCACTTGGCTTAACGCAGTTCCACGCTCATTATGTAACTTCGAAACGGCGTTTTGACTGGATAACTCCGCAGGACTCCTATTGTTCCCAAGCCCCTGCGTCCACTTCTGTTGGACAGGATTACTGGGAGGCCCCGAGGTGGGAAGAAGGCAGTTTTATAATGGGACGCAAGGTATAGGCAGCTTTAGAGAGATCTGGTTTGATTTCATTTTGCCTTTTTTTTTTTTGGCAGCATAAAAATGCAGGACTGAGCAATGTGTTTGCCTTTTTTTTTTTTAATAAATGTTTTATTAAGTTTTATAAGGGTGGGGAAAGGGTAAAGTCGGTATGGGTATTGGATGGGGTTGGGGAATGGGATTGGGATAAATACAATAGTGGGGTTACCCCCCAACAGAAATTCAACGCTTTAGCAAGCAGACTATTGCCCGGGTACAAATATTAAATAATAGTAGTTAATATAATACTAAACAGTTATAATAACTGATAATAACAATAATCATAAAAGTAAAGCTTAATCAATGAATATCATTCAACCTGTTAAATTTCACCATCCTTTCTCATTCTGTCGTGTTGCTAACCATTGATAAAAAATTTCCCAAGTTTTGAAATAAACTGAATCTTCTTTCTCTTTAATCTCTAAAGTTAATCTATCCATTTCTGCACATTCTAAGATTTTTGTGATTATAATCTGGTCAGATGGTAAGTTTTCATTTTTCCAAAATTGGGCAAATACTATTCTCGCGCCTGTCAATACATGTAATATTAAATATTCATTCTCTTTTCCCTAATTACGTCCTAATATTCCTGCGTTTGCCTTTTGACAGGTTTCATCTCTCGTTAAAATGTCTAACGGTTATGAAGACCACATGGCGGACGACTGCAGGGACGACATCGGCAGGACAAATTTAATTGTTAACTACCTTCCTCAGAACATGACCCAGGATGAGTTGCGGAGCCTGTTTAGCAGCATAGGGGAGGTGGAGTCCGCCAAGCTTATTCGCGACAAAGTGGCAGGTAAAATATTCCTCTTTGAAGAAAACCTAGGACCACAGCTGAGCCCAAACTTTCTGTTGCTGTTGCTTTGAATTCTGCCCTATTTTACGACCTTTCTTGACGTGGTGGTTAAGTGAATCACTGCAGTGGTTAAGTTAGTAAGAGGGCAGGACAAAAAGCAATAGATGGAAACTGACCAAAGAGAGAAGCAACCGGAAATTAAGGAGAAACTTCCTGACAGTGAGGACAATTAATCGGTGGAACAGCTTGCCACCAGACGTTGTGGGCACCCCATCTCTGGAGATTTTTAAGAAGAGACTGGATAGTCACTTGTCTGAGATGGTGTAGGTCAGTGGTGGCGAACCTATGGCACGTGTGCCAGAGGTGGCCCTCAGAGCCCTCTCTGTGGACACGCGCGCTGCCACTGCCAGCAGCTTGCGTAGGTCCATTAGGCCGCCCCCGCCGCCCAGAGTGGCAGCCCCTCCCAGCACAAAGGAGGCCTACACCCAGGAAGCCAAAGGCCACCCCCAGCAGGGAAAGCCGGATCCCCATCAGCGCCATGGCCCCCCAGTCCCAGCTAGGATTGTGTCCCTCCCCCATCTATGCTGGGCCTCCTGCCCATCGCCCCATCCGCCAGAGATCCCCTGGATCTCCCCCAACCCTTCCCAGTCCCCACATTTTTAGGTGCCTAATATTACAATAGAGAACATTTCTAGGTGCCTAATAATAATATAGAGAATATTATAATATTATAGAGAATATTTCTAGATGCCTAACAATATAGAGAATATTATAATATTACAAGAGAGAATATTTCTAGGTGCCCAATATTAGAAAATATTTCTAGGTGCCTAATAGAATATTTCTAGGTGCCTTATAATAGAAAATATTTCTAGGTGCCTAATATTATTAGAGAATATTTCTAGGTGCCTAATATTAGAGAATATTTCTAGATGCCTAATATTAGAGAATATTTCTAGGTGCCTTATAATAGAAAATATTTCTAGGTGCCTAATATTATTAGAGAATATTTCTAGGTGCCTAATATTAAGAGAATATTTCTAGGTGCCTTGTTATAGAAAATATTCCTAGGTGCCTAATATTACAATAGAAAACATTTCTAGGTGCCTTATAATAGAAAATATTTCTAGGTGCCTAATATTATAAGAGAACATTTCTAGGTGCCTAATACTACAGTAGAGAACATTTTTAGGTGCCTAATAATAATATAGAGAATATTTCTAGGTGCCCAATAATATTATAAGATAATATTTCTAGGTGCCTAATATTATAAGAGAATATTTCTAGGTGCCTAATAATATAGAGAATATTTCTAGGTGCCCAATATTAGAAAATATTTCTAGATGCCTAATAGAATATTTCTAGGTGCCTTACAATAGAAAATATTTCTAGGTGCCAAATATTATTCGAGAATATTTCTAGGTGCCAAATATTAGAGAGAACATTTCCAGGTGCCTGATATTAGAACATTTGATTTTGATTTTGATTTTGATTTTATTAAATTTATACCCCGCCCTTCTCCCGGAGGACTCAGGGCGGCTTACAGCCAGTTTAAAACAATGGTACAATACAATACAAAATTTAAAAAGATTAAAAATAACTATTTCTAGGTGCCTTATAGTAGAAAATATTTCTAGGTGCCTAATATTAGAGAGAACATTTCTAGGTGCCTAATATTACAATAGAGAACTTTTTTATGTGCCTAATATTATAAAAGAAAACATTTCTAGGTGCCTAATATTACAACAGAGAACATTTCTAGGTGCCTAATATTAGAGAATATTTCTAGGTGCCTTATTGTAGAAAATATTTTTAGTTGCCTGATATGAGAGAATATTTCTAGGTGCCTAATATTATAAAAGAAAATATTTTTAGGTGTCTAATATTACAATAGAGAACATTTCTAGGTGCCTGCCCACTGCCCCACCCGCCAGAGTTCCCCTGGATCTCCCCCAACCCTGCCCGGCCCCCACAGGCGTCCCCCCCCATGAGCAACATCGAGGTGGCCATGCCCACCCCAGCCACACCCACTCAGTCTGCTGTGACAACTGCAGCCATGCTCACCCAGTGGGCCATGCCCCCATGCCCCCCCTGAGGGCACCACAATGCTGATGCGGCTCTGGCACTTTATAATAAATAAGTGGGTTTTGCGTTGTGGTTTGGGCACTCGGTCTCTATTATTCTATTCTATTCTATTATTCTATTCTATTCTATTCTATTCTATTCTATTCTATTCTATTCTATTCTATTCAACATGGTTAAATGAATCTGGCTTCCCCATTGTCTTTGTCAGGTGGCAAAAGGGGAATTACATGACCCCAGAACACTGCAGCCATCATAAATATGAGTCAGTTGCCAAGCATCTGAATTTTGATCATATGACTATGGGCATAGTAAATGTGAAAAATGGTCATAAGCCACTTTTTTCAGTGCCGTTGTAACTTCGAACGGTCACTAAATAAACTTGTGAGTCAAGGACTGTCTGCAGTGATATACTGAACTCTTGCTTGTCAATGAGACAGGAGAACAAATTTTTTTTTGGGGGGGGGGGCTAGGGAAAAAACAGAGTTTTGTTCCTCTTGATGAAAAATCACGGTTCAGCAGTTAACGATGTGTCTGTCTTACCTATAAATTGGGGTTTGACGTGTGTGTGGCTAAACGTTAATGTGTTCGGTATGCCATGTCACGCCTCCTGATTTCTGACACAGGTGAGAAGAGTGGATCTGACCGTTCAGAGGTTTTTTTTTATGATCCAGAAATGGTGGTGCCAGTCCCTTGTATCTTAAGCCACAGCGACTGCTACTGAGTGGCAGCTCACTTTTAAAACTGTTAGTAACTTTCAAGAAACAGTGGTTGGAAACTGATCAAGGAGAGAAGCAACCTGGAACTAAGGAGAAACTTCCTGACAGTGAGGACAATTAACCGGTGGAACAACCTGCCTCCAGAAATCATGGGTGCTCCATCACTGGAGGCTTTTAAGAAGAGACTGGACAGCCACTTGTCTGAGATAGTATAGGCCAGTGATGGCGAACCTTTTAGAGACCGAGTGCCCAAAAACCGGCCCCGCCCTTGTTCTGCCCCCCATCCCCCGCCCCGCCTGGCCACAGGACCACTCACCGCCTCCAGGGCCCGCCGCAGATCGCCCAGGCAGCCCAGCAGCGCTATGGTGGCCACACCCTCTGCCCGCGCCCTGCAGCATCAAATGCATGATGGGGCGTGAGGGCAGAGCCTTGTCTACGCTACCTGGCTGCCATGTCCTTGGCTGTGCTGCTCCGTGTGGGCCACGCTCGGGGGCGACTCTCCTTCAGGGGGGCTGCTGGTGAGGAGGGGGTCGTGGGGGGAGGCGAGGCTGGGGCAACAGCACGTGTGCCCACAGAGAGTGTCCGAGTGCCGCCTCTGGCACCCGTGCCACCACTGGTATAGGCTCTCCTGCTTGAGCAGGGGGCTGGATTAGAACGGGGGTCCCCAACCCCCGGGCTGTGGACCGGTCCCGGGCCACTGCATGCCAGAAACCGGTCCGCACAAACAAGCGAAGCCCCATCCGTGGGATGCAGGCAGGCAGCACGTGAAACCACGGCCCCTCTGTTCCACGGGAAAACCTCTCTCCGTAGGACCGGTCCTTGGTGCCCAAAAGGTTGGGGGGGGGCACTGGACCAGAAGGCCTCCAAGGCCCCTTCCAGCTCTATTCTGATGGACTGAGAAGTTCGTGCTTATCCGTAAAAAGAACTTTTCTGAAGCGGGATTAAAATCGTGCCGTAATCCACTCGAGCTTTGATGGGCCTCGAAAGAAACTTTTTCCACCTCTGCAATTTATTTATTTATTTATTTATTTATTTATTTATTAATAAGACTTATATGCCGCCCTTCTCCCCCATGGGACTCAGGGCGGCTCACAGCATATTAAAAAACAATACAAAACATTTCCCTATAAAAGCCAATTAAAAACCAAATATTTGTAGCTGTGTCTTGTTTAAAATCATTAAAAATTGTCCCTATTTAAAAATTCACCCTAGGTCAGTCCNTCCTCCTCCTCCTCCTCCTCCTCCAATCCCATTCTCTTCTAGTACTGATGATGTTACCTAGTTGGGTCATGAAACGTCTGCAAGGAAACCGCCCAGCTCAGAGAGCACCAAGGAGCCCTCGTTTCAACCCTGAGCTACCATTATTTTCCTTCATTGGCAGCCATTTATGCTTCATATTTGTGCTTTCCTTTTGTTTTGAAATGTGAAATTTTCATATCAGAGAATGATGGAAAGGTTTTTGTTGTTGTTGTTGCCTCTCTGAAAAGAATGAAAGAGACGTTTTTTCCCCCCCTACAGGACACAGCTTGGGTTACGGTTTTGTGAACTACGTGACCGCAAAAGATGCTGAAAGAGCAATCAACACACTGAACGGCCTGAGACTTCAGTCCAAAACTATCAAGGTAAAAAAAGTCTGTAATGGTGGCTAGAACTGGCTACCTTAACACGGCTTGTTCCTCCTCCCCAGAACTTCCCCTCGGCTTGGTGATTGCGCCCTTCCTCTGCCCGATCCACGGTGGACGGTCTAAGCTCCACCTGGCCCCCGTCTGTTCCCCTGCAGGCCCATTTCTTTCCTCCTGGAGGTTGCTGGACCTCTTCCCCCCCTCTCCCCTGGTCCCAAGGGCCAGGGAGCAGCTGTGCAGGATTTTTTGGGGTGGAGGGGGGGGGCTCTGTTAATGGGACTTCAATACAAAGAAATATATTAAGGCCAGAGTTGCATCCATCAGATGAGGAGGAGGAGGAGGATGGTGATGGTGATGAAGGAGACAACATTACTTGCCCTTTCTCTTTAGTGAACTCTGTGCCTGTAAGAAGAAATGTCTCTCCTTACATCGTAGTTGGGGCCTGCATCAGATTTAAAAAAAAATAAATATGGGTTGCAGCCTGAGTAGTAAAGACATCTTAGTAATGGGTTTGTCCAGCTTTCCTCAGCTGACACATTTCAGATGTCTTCCTTCCTCCCTCCCTCCCTCCCCTTCTTCCTTCTTTCGTTTCTGTCTCCCTCTCTCCCTTTCTGTTTCCCTTCCTTTCTTCTTTCCTCCCTCCCTCCTTCCCTCCCTCCCTCCTTTCCTTTGTTTCTCCCTTTCCTTCCTTCCCTCCCTCCCTCTTCCTTCCTCCCTCCCTCCCCTTCTTCTTTCGTTTCTGTCTCCCTCTCTCCCTTTGTTTCCCTTCCTTTCTTCTTTCCTCCCTCCCTCCCTCCCTCCCTCCCTCCTTTCCTTTGTTTCTCCCTTTCCTTCCTTCCCTCCCTCCCTCTTCCTTCCTCCCTCCCTCCCCTTCTTCTTTCGTTTCTGTCTCCCTCTCTCCCTTTCTGTTTCCCTTCCTTTCTTCTTTCCTCCCTCCCTCCCTCCCTCCTTTCCTTTGTTTCTCCCTTTCCTTCCTTCCCTCCCTCTTCCTTCCTCCCTCCCTCCCGTCCTTCCTTCCTTTGTTTCTCCCTTTCCTTCCTTCCCTCCCTCCTTTTCTCCCTTCCCCCTTCCTTCCTTCCTTTGTTTCTTCCTCCTTCCCTCCCTTCCTCCGTCCCTCCTTCCTCCCTCCCTCCCTCCGTTTCTCTCCCTCCCTCCCTCCCTCCGTCCCTCCTGTATCCATCCATCTCCCCCTCCTTTTTTCCTGTATCCATCCATCCCTCCCTCCCCCTGGACCGCTCGAGAGCGTTCATGGCAAAGGGCGAGATGTAAAAGTACAAAATACAAAAAAAACCCCACCACTTTATCCCTCAGCCTAATGCCCAGCCCAGGTTCCCCTCCGTGGGCCAGTGTAAGAGCCGTGGGTCAGGGCTTGGCTCTTCATGCCCCGTCTTCCGGATCCCGAGGTGAGGGCGCCAGGCCCTCCACTGGAGAACTGGGAAGGAGGCGGCCTCCGGTCTGAGCGACCCAGCTGCCCAGGCTGTGCCACGGGGATCCTCTGGCTGCCTGCCACACCCCTGTGAATGAGCTCCTTGTGCCCTTCAAAGCTGGCATTCTTCAGCTTTGGAAAGCCCAATGGGGGACTGTTAACATTTGGATGCTTCGTGGGCTGCAGGTTGGCGAGTGAGCTGTCCTTGCAGAGCGCTCGTCTTTTGCCTCTCTGCTTAGCGCCGCTTTCCCCGGGCTTCGGCCTCTCCCCGGAGAGTCCTGTGAGCTGGAAAAGTTGTGAATTGCTTAGAGGGCTGGCATGGTACCTGGTTCCAGCAGGGGCTAGCTTCTCTCCGTGCCCTGCCAAAGCCCTTTTTGCTCCGCCAGGTAATCGCACGTGAAAGAGAAGCTGCTTTTTCTGTCCTCTGTATGTTTCACCCGCTGGTGGGTTTGGCAAAACGATTTTTATTCGCTAAGGAAAGGGCAACAGACACGACTTTTTTCACCCACCCACCCCCCGTCCTGATAAAAAAATTAGGATTCAAAGCCTTTTGGGAATAGAAGCACAAAACCTCAGCCCAATTTTTTNGCTTCCGCTGAGCCCTGACAGCCCCGAAGAAGCGCCGATCAGCTGGAAAGCGGCACTGATCCTGGTGCTTCCGCTGAGCCCTGACAGCCCTGCAGCTCCAGCCGTCTCTTGCTCAGGCTTGTGCGGTGCTGCCACCGGTTCAGCTCTTTCCCCTCCTCTGCTATCACTTTCCTAGGATGGTTGCGTACCACCTGCCAGGTGCCAATGTACCACAGGTGGTACCCGTACCACTGGTTGAAAAGCCTTGATCCAGGTCACAGCGATCTGAAAGATGCCTTCTCCAAAAGGGCAACTGGACTGTTTTTTCCTTTGAGGAGGAAGACAAAGTTTCGCTTCTCATCCAAGAAGCTTCATCAGTTCTGAGTGGGGGGGGGTGGTGATGGATGGAAGGAGTTAATTCTGACGATGGCGAAGAACTGATGAAGCTTCTTGGGACGAGAAGCAAAACGTCGTCTTCCTCCTCAATGGGGGGGAAAAAACAACCCCCAGTCCAGTTGCCCTTTTGAAAAAGCACCTTTGAGACAGCTACTCTGACCGTTTATTGGCCTGAGATAATGTTTTGCAGGTGTGACCAGGTACGTTCATTAAATCCTAGAAATGTCTTTAGGTCTTCTAGCTGTGTGGATTCACATGCCTTTTCCCCGCTTTTTTTGTGTGTGTGTCAAAAGGTGTCGTATGCTCGCCCAAGCTCCGAGGTGATTAAAGATGCCAACTTATACATAAGTGGGCTGCCACGGACCATGACACAGAAAGATGTGGAAGACATGTTTTCACGGTTTGGACGCATTATCAACTCGCGTGTGCTGGTGGATCAGACTACAGGTGCGTGAGAACCGAAGCAGCGCAGTTCCCCACCCAGGTGGCTGCCTGCCTGCTGATCTACCTCAGAAATGGTCCCCAGGGGGGTCATCCAAAGCAGAGTCTCTCTCAGACTTGGGCCATTTTAAGAGGGTTGGGCTTCATCTCCCAGAATTTCTCCAGCTGGGGGAATGCAAGGAGTTTGAAGACCACCCTTCTTAAACCGGCCAAGTTTGAGAAACACTTGATTTAAAGCATACCTGTCGGGAATAATTTCCCCCCTTTTTGAATACCATTTGGGTACCTAGTAATTTGCATTCTTTTCGCTTCTCATCGGTTCTGACTGGATGGTGGGGAAGGACAGGATTTATACTCTTTGCAGACAGCTGGTCATCTGCCTCCTTTTAGAGATTTGTTGAGGCCACTTGGAGGTTTACCCGTGTCCTCAGGGTCACCTGAGCGGTGCAAATGGGTGTGGAGACTTCTGGGAACCGCTGACCACATCATCTACCTCCAGTCTACAACACAGTCCTCTCAGCAGCTCCAAGGAGGCTCCACACCCAGTTGTAACGCTCAGGTGACCCTGAGGACACAGACAAACATCCAGGTGGCCTCAACGACTCTCGAAAAGGATGCAAATAACCAGCTGTCTGCAAGGAGTATAAATCCTTCCCTTCCCCACCATCCAGTCAGAACGGAAGAAGCTTCTGGGATGAGAAGCGAAACATCTTCAAAGAAAAAACAAGAAAGTCCAGTTGCCTCCTGAAAAAGGACCTTTAGGTTAAATAAATAAATAAATAAATAAATAAATACATTGATAATGATATAATGATAATGATAATGTCAATTGCAAAAGGCGGCCTTACTAAGAACTGCTTCCATCCTGCGACGAGATCTGTAATATCATCAAACATCCACATCTGCCTATCCCAGGTCCTGGGTAAGGACTTGATAGGCAGACAAAAATGCCAAATCCAGTCTGAACATCAAGTTGGAAGGGACCTTGGAGGTCATCTAGTCCAATCCCCTGCTCAGGCAGGAAACTCTATAGCGTTTCAGACAAATGGCTGTCCAGTCTCTTCTTAAAAACCTCCAGTGTTGGAGCATTCACCGCTTCTGGAGGCAGGTGGTTCCGTTTAATCTTAAGCCTTAACCAGCCCAGCAATGTTGGGCCTTCTACTCTACTGAGCCGGAAGCCAAGCTAACTTTGTCCCTGACTTCTGAAGTCCCCGGGCGGCCCCGTGGCGTTTCTGGATGGCTTCCCCTTCCCTGGTAAAACAGTGGGTGTTGGTCCAGTCTGGTCCAGGCAGAAAATGGCTGGGAGCCAACGAGAGCCGCCCTGATCCTTCATCATCATCATTATTATTATTTTTCTTCCCCTGTGACTTGCAGGCTTGTCCCGAGGGGTTGCCTTCATCCGGTTTGACAAAAGATCAGAAGCGGAGGAAGCGATTTCAAACTTCAACGGCCACAAGCCGCCGGGCTCCTCTGAACCCATCACGGTGAAGTTCGCAGCCAACCCCAACCAGAATAAAAACGTGGCTCTCCTGTCCCAGCTCTACCACTCCCCAGCTAGACGGTTTGGGGGGCCTGTCCATCACCAGGCCCAGAGATTCAGGTAGGTTAGGAAGAACCAAATGAATCAAGAGGTCTGTAACTGTCTTCCCTCTCTCCCTCCCTCCCTCCCTCCCTCTCTTTCTCTCTCTTTCTCCGCTTCTTCTGCTTTCTCTCTTCTCTTCTCTTTTTTTTTTTTTTCCGAAAAAGTCATTGCTGTTCATTCTCAAGACACAGCACCGAGTCTTCCAATAGATAGCTCAGTGGAAGGGGAAGAGAAAACAGCCCTGGATTACACTAAATGTTACCCATTCCACACGATTAAGGCTGATAACTCTGTGTGAAGAGTTTGTGTTCTGATGACTGACCTGCAAAAGCCACGTTTTGAGGGAGGGGATGCTGCTGGTTGCCCCCACCCCACCCCACCCCGTCCACCCGTCACCCAGCCCCAATCACCCCGATGGGTTAGTTTAATTAGCAGGGCGTCCTGTTGTTAATTCCACCCTTAGCTCCTACCGAGGCTCCGCCAGAGACTAGCCTTGAAGGGGTCGCAATAGCAGTCTTATGTAAGTGTGTATTTAGTGATTTCTGCTTTTTACTTTAACCAACTCTTTCCCGATATTTCTTGACAGTTCACGTGGAACCCATCAGCTCGGCCCCAATTGCACCTCCAACTTCTTCCATTAGACTTTTTAAGTGCATTCTGTATAATTTTAGAGAGCTCTTGAAACAGTTTTCTTTCATACTTTAATGGCAGTGGAGTGTTTTTGACCCCCAAATGAATATGTAACCCCTGACCCCCCACAAAAGTATGTCAGTAATCATTGTGAATGTCCATTTCTGTTCTTAATTTTTTTTTCTTTCTATCTTCTGTTCTCTCAAGATTATTTTTTACTCTTCTCACTTTCTCTCTCTCTCTCTCTTTCTCTCTCTCTCTCTCTCTTTTTCCTAATAGAGTTTCATTTAAATAGAGAATTAAAAGCCCTCCAGATCCTCTTTCCCCTATTAATAAAGATTGAAAATTTGTCTGTCTGATCTGATGCTTCGTAACAGTGTGGTAAAATACAAGATTTTTTTTTTAAACTTTCTGGAAAAAAATGGTGACACATGGTATTCATTGCCAAAAATTGGTTTTTCGAATTGCCTGAGTCCAGCGCTAAAAAACCCTCTCTCTCCTCCCCCCCAGTCTAAAATAGCCAGAACAAATACTAAGGGGTTCCTGTTATTGTTTATTTTTTATTTAAAAAAAACCCCCCTTCTTACACTGCTTTTCTGACTAAAAATAATTGCTTCAAGTGGTTTATAGAGCTAGAAAAATACAAATTATAAACTAGTGTGAAAGCCACGCCATAGTTCAGGGAGAAACCAAACCAAAAACAATTAAATTAGACCCAGATGTCATTCACGTTAAAGCCACCAACCAACCCTCAAGTTTTCACAGCTGTACTTGACCGACTGTATTTGCAGGGAATATAAGATGCAGTGGTGATCTGTGGTCTTAGAGTCTCAAAAGTCAGAATTTGTACATTTGCCTTTGTGGGCAAGTGTCCAAAGAAGAGCCCCCAAAGGTCTGGGCAACAAACTCTTCTATGTGTGTAAAACCTAGCTGTGTGATTTTATTAGAAAATAAAAGAGTGCAATTACTAATGAAAAGCACACAGCCTTGGCACTTGAGTCTCCCTCCCGTTGCCATTGTTTGACAAGACACAATAATTGTAATTTAAACCAAGCATGTCATAGAGTTGTTTACGAACTTCCTTCCTTCCTTCCTTCCTTCCTTCCTTCCTTCCTTCCTTCCTTCCTTCCTTCCTTCCTTCCTTCCTTCCTTCCTTCCTTTTAAACAAACGTTCGGCTTATAGCCCAGTCTTTCTATTTTCCTCCCCACACCTTTTTTTTTTACCCAAGAGAGAAAAGTTGCCACCTGGCAGAGAAATGTAGAGAGGAGGGGAATGTTTTAAAACAGACTGACTTACTGTCTTTAAAGAGAGTCATTTCGATCTTAAAAATAGAAATGGAGAGATGTGTAAATCGTATTATTTGCGTGCCTCTACTGGATAATCAGTCCTTCTGAACTCAGTTCTGAATAAAAAAAAAATAGGGAATTTGGAAGCATGCATGACAGTTTGTTAAAAGTGTGTATGTTCTCAAATCATCCTTTTTTTATAGCTGCAAAACTAACAACAATAAAAAACCCCAAACTTTAAGACCCCCCCTCCACCCGCCCAGCAGGCAGTTTTGCAGAGATATTTTAAAAATTGCCCTGCAAAGGCCAACATTTTTATCCCTAAGTTCTCCAGTTTGATAGCAGTTAGAGCAAGAACACCCATGATATTTAGGATTTTCTTTCCAAATAGAAAGCCAGATCGACATAAAAGTATTACTGATTGCTCCTACCTGCTTCTCATGTTAATTACAGATTAGTTTGAGAAGTTTTTATTACACTTTTCAATCTTCCAAACCACTGCCGCATTTTGACTTGACGAGCTGCTTAAATTTATGTCGCATTTATCCTTTCTTGAGAAGGCTGGACGAAGAGATGGTCCTGGCTGTCTCCCTCTCATTAGCCAGAGCGTGGCTCGCTCTTTCCTGGGTAGTGATGACCAGTAGCGGCTCAGTCAAGCTCCTACCTGGCGTGCTAGTGTTACTTCTGTTTTTGTCCTTTCTAAAGTAACCCTTTTTAAAGGATTTCTAGCAGCCTTTCCTCACTCCACTCACGTAGAATCACCCTTTAGCTGGAAAACGCTTGGTCTCTTGAGTGATGGTCAGGTGTCCATGCAGAAGGGCAGCTAGAAAGTCCAGCCTCAAACACTGAAATTTGCAAGTCTCCCCAGGACCTGAAGGGTTTACAAAGTAGAAATAGGAATGGAGAATTTCCCTTCTGCTTCGAGAGAAGCTTGGCTACTGGGCCGGACTGGGAAGGAGAAAAGGGGCAAATATAAGCTGGTCAGTCAGCAAGCTGAACCAGGATCTTAAATTTCCTCAGAAAAATCTTCCCCAGGACACAAATAGGACCAGCATCTCTTTTTTCTTCTGTTAAAAAAAAATGCAAACCCCAGCAACTTTTTTCGTTGGCTCAACTGTCGCTTAATACCGTCAATCGTAAAGTCACTAATAACAATATTTTCCTAAATTCCTCAGTGGAATGAAAATAATAAGCTGAGGATTAGTTAAGCACCCTCTCTAACGATTCCTCCTGCTGACAATAATCAAGCCAGTAACAATTAGAGCTTTAATTTTAAATGCCATCAGCAGGCGTTTAAGTCGTAGCTCGTAGTTTTGTTTTTTTAGTAGTTAGTTCGTCCCTTAAAGGCGTAATAACAGCAGTTAATTTTCTATTGAGAAATTTTATTTGAAACGTGTTATTACAAATCACATAGCAAAAGCTCTGGTGCTTGTTTCATGTAGCATATCCCCTCTTTAAGTCCTGTTCATATACTCTTCCATTCCTCTTTCATGATTTTACATGGATTGTCACCCTTTTAATTTTAATTTTAATTCACTAGGGCTGTGCGTTTGTAAACTCGATCCATATCATGAAAACGGCCGTCTTTTAATTTACTGCTTTTCTGGTTTTGGGTTTCCTATTCCACTCTAATGTGCTTCTTTTTTTTTTTCTTCTTCCTGTTTTGTTTTGATTACTTTTCAAGTCTCCTCACTCATTTTCATGCAACCTTAACTGTAAATTCCTTCTAGAGATTTCCTTTCCAGTGGAAAACCTTGCATGTCTTTTAAAAAAAAAAAGTTGCCAGTCTCCTGAAGTGGGTGGCACCAGGAGGGGTTTATTTGAGGATTCTTTGTCGTAGAATTCTTGTCACTTGTTAAATAAATAATGTTCTTCTATCTGCCTGTACTCGGCCTCTTCCGTGTAAGGTGAGAAATACCCCTGCCCCCCAAGTTAAGCGACTTAAAGGATATTTTGGGGGGGTTAGGATTGCCTCTTAACCTGTGCCAAACTGGGGCACGTTAATGTGGTTTTCAAGGATCCTGAATGATCTGTGGGATAAAGAGTTTTTCAGCCTTTCAACCTTAAGACGGATGGACTTCCAACTCCGACCTACTAGCTGGAGAATTCTGGGAGTTGAAGTCCACCCACCTTTAAAGTTGCCGAGATAGAGAAAGTGTGTGTGTGGGGGGGTCAACTTTTGGGGGTGTGTGTGTGTCTAGCTTGAAAGCCTCCCCGAGCTGGCTGAATTGGGAAGGATGTATGTGGGAGTTCCCCTCCCCGTCCCCGGGACCCCAAGTCTTAGGGAATCCACACGGCCATCTCTCGCCCCTCGTCCCACTAAGAACAATTCGCTGCTGTGGGTTTAAATAAAAGATTAAATAGGACGTGGAAGACAGGTCACCGGAGAGAGAGAGAGAGAGAGAGAGGGAGGGAGAGAGAGGGAGGGAGGGAGGGAGAGGAGAAGGAAAACGAATCCACGCTGCCCCCTTTTGCAATTTTCCAGACCACGCGTGGGAAAACGGACTTGTCTCCCAAAGAAGGATCTTATTATAGACGGTCACCTTGCGTGGGCCCGCTGCCCCTTGAGTGACAATTTGGTTGGGCAATTAAATAATGCTGACTCCTCTCCAAGGCAGCCGATAGATTCCCCCCGTGAAAAATCGAGCATTATGGAGTTCCTGGCCCCCCCTCTGGTTTTGCTTCATCAACGAGGCATTATTTTGTCCGTCAGAAAAGCAGTCTCTTTCTTACCTTAACAGAAGCTCCCCCCAACCCCCCAAACCTTCCCAGGTCTCTCGAGTTTGAGATTCTGCCCCCGGTTGCAGTCATCTTGACACGTGCCAGGGGGGAGAGAGCGAGAGAGAGAGAGTGATACTTCCATCCTCCTAGATCAGTGGGAGACAGAAATGACGAATCTCGGGTTGGGATGGGGTGGAGCGGGGAGAGCATCCTCCTTTTTCTGGACGGCCCACGCAGCATCCTGGAAATATAACACCACCTCGGGTGGTTAGGATCCGGGTGGGAGATCAGTGGAATTTTTCTGGGGATGGGGGAGTGGGAACGAAGGACGACACCCCCCCTCCACCCCCAATGCCTGGTCTGCCAGCCTTTCTCCCCACTTGCCACTTCCTCCTCGCCTGCCTCATCTCCCCCTGAGCCGAGGTGTCGCCTGCCTCAGTCCTCTCCCCAGTCCACACAGTGATTGCCAGGCCAAGGGAGCGAAGGTCCCCGTGCCCTCTCCGTGCGCCTGGCACCGAGGATCTGAATGCAGGAGGCCTGGTCTCCAGCTAGGGCCCTGGAGAGGAAGAGGCCTGGCTGACGTGGGCAGGGACGGCTTATCCTGTCCTTTGTTCACTTCACGAGGACCTGCGGCGGGAGACGTTCCGCGTAGCTCCTCTTCCGCCTTCACAGACTCTTAAGGAGATAGCCTGGCTGGTGGGCGGCAGGGAATAGCAGCAGCAGCAGCAGCAGAGAAATGGATGGCACCAGGGAGGCTGACCTACTAACGTGGGCACAAGCTTCCGTGGAGTAGAGCCCACTTCGCCAGGTGGTGGGAGGGCTGGTGTCGTGACCTTGACTGTCCCTTAAAGCAGAGCGAGGGACTTGTAGATGACGTTGGACCCCCAACTTCCATTGCTTTGTTTGGGAGGGTTTTTTTGGGGGGGGGGGACACAATCTGTTTTGTTTTCCACCCGATAGGAATTGGGATTAAGCAGCATCTTACCTCACTTTCCCGCTCCTGATCTAGATAACGGAGAGGAAACGACCTCTGCAGATGTGGTCTTGGTTGTAAAGAAGCGACCTGCAGATTTAATACTTGTATTATGAAAGAAAGCGCCCCCCCCCCCGGAAAGAGTGGTGGGATTCTTTGGTGGTGCCCTTTCATACTACTCCTATTAAATGAGCGCAACGTAGCCAGAAAGCAAAAAATCAGCAGCAGCCTTCCTTGTTGGGAAGTTGAGACTCGAACCCACAACCGCTGCTGACCACAGCCTGCCTCTACTTTCCTCTCCTTGCTCCCCCTTCTCTCCTCCCCCCCCATTTTTGTGTTCTTCAGCAAATGGGAGGGGGGGACAGCGCTTCTTCACACATCTGGTGAAGTGGGACCTAGCCTAGGAAGGTTGACCCCATCGTTGGTTCATGCCCCCCCACCCACCCCCCAAAAAAGGTGCCTTGCTGTCTTTTTAACTATCCGCTCTGCCCTCACGGCAGGAAGACGAGAGACGCCCTGCTCCGTGGACCCTGTTCAGATGACACCCCCAACCCACCCCCCCACCCCCCGTGTTTTTTTTAAAATCTGGGACCCCTGTTGAGTTTTTTGCTTGATTGAACTGAACATTTTTTTGTTTTGTTTTGTTTTGTTTACATGAACTGTTGTGTGCTTTTTATTTGCTAGGTTCTCTCCTATGGGTGTAGATCACATGAGTGGGCTTTCTGGTGTAAATGTCCCAGGAAACTCTTCGGGCTGGTGTATCTTCATCTACAACCTTGGCCAAGATGCCGATGAGGGAATCCTCTGGCAGATGTTTGGCCCCTTTGGCGCGGTGACTAATGTGAAAGTCATCCGCGACTTCAACACCAACAAGTGTAAAGGCTTTGGCTTTGTGACAATGACAAACTATGAAGAAGCCGCCATGGCCATAGCGAGTCTTAACGGCTACCGGCTGGGGGACAAACTCTTGCAGGTTTCCTTCAAAACCAACAAGTCCCACAAATAACTTCTTCGCTCGTGGCTTCTCCTCCTCCTCCTCCTCCTCCTCCTCTTTTTTTTTTTTTTTTGTATGGAATAGATAATTGAGTGACGAAAAAGTTTGAACTTTTTTTTTTTTTGGTTGTTGTTTTCGTTAGTGTACAACTCATTTTTTTTTCCTTTGGGGCGCGCCAATTTTCACAAAAAAGTTGTTTGTCTTTAGTCTAAATGAAAAGTGGAGAAGGGGTTTTATACTCTGGGATGCCACCGACATGTTCAAATGTTTTCGTTTTTTTTTAAAGTCCCATAATGGTTCTAGTCTTTTTTTTTTTTTTAAAGTTCCTTTTAAAGTAGTCCTGTTTTTGCAAAATCTCCCTTTGGACCCCAAAATCTTAGTTAATGGAAACCATTTGCACCCGGTGCCAGTGAAACTGTCGGACATCTTGGCTCCCTTTAATTTCACTGAATAGAATTTGCCAAGGCAGGACATCAGCCAAAGTCCTGTTGACCCCAGTACTTTTCTGCAATGCTCTTACTTAATAATAAGTTCTCTTTGAGCAAGAGATTTGCTTGTGAAAAATTAACTTACTGGTGAAAAATTGACTAAAAGGAAGCCTAGAGAATAACGAAATGCCACCCCCCCCCCCCGGGTGACACCGTCGACTGTGTTTGTCACTCAGTAGACAAAACCCAAACTGGGAAGTAAAAAATAACTTTTTTTTACAGTTTGTTTCCCTCCCCCCTTTAAAAGCCCAGTTTCCATAAAAAGGACCAAAGTGTTTTGAGAAAACTCTGGGGGTGATTTCAGAGTAAAAGAAAGGGGAAAGAAAAAATAAAAGTCCACTTCCCAACATTGCCACTTCCTCCGAATTCTTGCCTTCCAATTATGGTGTTTTCTGTGCATTGCTTTCTGGTAAAAGAAACGTGGCAATCTCCTCTTGACCTAATTTTTAGTTGGAATAACCGAGTTCTTAAGAGTCCCCTTGCGAAGATCTGACAAACATTTGAGCATTGTAATTTTTGTGCATCCCTTCTCATAATTACTAGAAATTTTTTTTTTTCGTATTTTAATAGTGAATTTTGTTTTGACAAATAGCTTTTTACCTATTGAACGCTCAGCAGAAAAGGTACATTAAAACTTGCAAGTTTGAGATTAAAGAGACAAAATTTTTTTTTTTTTTGGGGTAGATTTCAAATGTTTTAATTAATTAATTCCCCCAGCGTTTACTTCAGGCTGCCTTTAATCTTTTGAGTTCTGTTTTCTGTTAATTTTTCTTTTGCTTTTTTGTGTTTTCGTTTGTTTTTACTTTTGCATTTAAGACCAATTAAATTTGATTTGGTTTTGCTGAAATTTTGTTTTGGTTTGTTGTTTTAAGTTTTTCTCCCTTCCTTGCCATGTTACACAGTACCCAACAGGGAACGATGACGTCAGTCCTTTTCCGAATAATTTGGGGGGATTTTAAAATGACAAGAATCAACCGATTGGTAGGAGGTCAGGAGCTTAACCAATGAAAAAGCATTTACAGTCACTTCCAACAACAACACGGCGAGGGTTTAAGTGGCTCGGAAAGCGTTTACAGCTGAGACGCGATCTAGTTGGCTAGATCCGCAAGGTTTATAAACCAAACGGTACTTTTGGGTGAAGAGAGAAACCTGTCTAATTCTAAATTAGATTTAAGCCTGTTGCACGTTATCTCTGGCAATCTCTCTCGTGTAAGTCGGTGGAGAGGCAGGGCTGATTCTGTTTTGGACCTGCGATGTTGCCGGTTTCTTTCTGTTTGTGAGCCTCCTTGCAGGATCCTTCCAGCTACATCATCTTTCCACCAAAATCTAGAATTTGGTGGACTCGGGCAACCCTTAACGGAGACTTAGAGAGAGAGAGAGAAGTGTGTCGAAATCTCCCAGGCAGCTGAAGTGCACCCCACACCGTCCTGGTGGGGAGAAGACCCACCCATGAAAACGGTGACCGTGGGTGGCTTCCCTCGCAGTCCTTCACGCAGCCTTTAGCCTTCACGGTGTGTCTGAGATACATAACAATTTTTCCTCTTTTTTTTTTTTTTTGGGTGACTGGAGGAAAAGTGCCCCGTCCGAAGAGTTTTACTCACCACACAAAGCCACTGCGTCCATTGTGAACCCTGATCTCGAGTCTCTTTGGCGAAGGAAACGCCATTCCAAAGGAATATCTGCTTTGCCTCATGCTTTTTTGATTGCACCTTTATTTAAGAACTAACTAAGATGGATCCCTTTTACAAGCAGGGTTCTTGGCCCCTCAAATTATACATGAACCTACTTAAAAAAAACAACAGCTAAAGAGATAGTCTCTTTTGAGGTTATTGCTGTCCTAGTTGCCGTCACAATTTGGGTTGTCAAGTGATTTGTGACAACGGTTCGGAAAACCTTGCTTAGTAATGCTGCCTTTGTTCTGTGGTTCTTCCAAAATCTTAATTCCTGGACAGCCCTAGGTTTGGTTTTTTTTGTTTTTTTTTAGTTTGGCATGATCAAGTTTACACCAGACAAGGTTTACTTGCCTTGTCATTTGCAATGTTGATCACAAAATTTCCATGTTACCTCTTTAAGCAGGACCGTGTTTTCCATGTTGAGGAGAATCGCTTATCATTTTCCTGTTTCTGGTCAAACTAACATCATGTAAATCTTGACATTCCACTTGGAACTAACCTGGTACCCTGTTCAAAACAACATTTCCAGTCATTGGGCGTTACATCCAACTGCCATTTTGGCAAAATCGGGTTGCGGAAGAGACCGCTGTCCAGCGCCTGGAGGCTCCCAAGATAAATCCCCCCCCCTTTACAGCTTCCATTAATCTCTTTTTCTGTTGGGTGATTCTTTGACATAGCCTGACATCTCGTTTGTTTTTTTTTTGCAGCCGTATAAAACATTCCTTTGATATATTTTTTTAAAATGCTCGAAGCAGTCTTGATTATAAATACGTCGATGGAGATTATAAGGCATTTCTAACCTCGATCCTAAAGCATTTCTTTTGCTGTCCCTGTTTTACTCCTTTTGTCGTTCTTCATTCTCATTTTAAAGGCAGCTTCCACCACACGGCCCGTAAGACCTTCCAGACGCGACACACCATTCCTTTCTAATTCATTGGCCGTACGTTACAGATGTTGACAGACATCTGTATCTCTCTGGATGCCGGTTGTGGGGATAACCTGCCCTCTCTACCGGAAGGGCGGGTGTAGGTACATCTTTTTGCCTGTCATTGCTATTTTCTCTGCTATTTTGTCCAGTAAAACACGCCTCAGTCACATCGGTTTTGCCAGCTTCTATAAGAGGAAATATAGCAGATTTCTTTGGGCAAATACAACCAGTAGCACAGGGGTCTTATTCTAGGGGTTTACTACCATTTCTCTGGCTGTTGTTACTAGGATTCACCCAGTCTTCCATCTTTCCTCAAGTCTTGCTCTCAGCCGCCATCTTCCCTAATCTGCTTTTCGGAGTTCTGGTTAGCTCCAGGAGTCCCGCTAAGCTAACGGTACGGGACAAGAACGTATTAAAACATTTTTTTTACACGTGAGGGAAAGGATTCTAGTGTCACCGTTGGGAGTCAAAGCCCTAAGTCACGAAAAGCACTCTGGGACCATTCTCTTTTGCTACCCATTCCCTTTAAAATTCCCATTTGAGCGGATAACGATTTAAAACAAAACAAAACAAGCATTCGGAAGGAATTAAGGCAGTTCTTAAAAGGTGCATCTCAAAAGGCTGGGAGTTGGGTTTGATCGGCCTTTTTCTCTCAGTTGCTTCCCCGGTTTCCGAATGAAATGGAATTTTCCTTTGAGCGGCCTAAGATGGCCTTGTCGTCGCCTACTCTCAAAACGTTGTTTTTAAATAAGGATTTGGGGTCTTTCCGCCCGTCTGGGAAAAAGGTGAAACAGAAATATGCATACAGTATATATAAAATGAAAACGGATTTTTTTTTTTTTTAGTCTGAGGTGACAGTTATGGAAAGAATTAATCCTTGCTGCTGGTATTTTGACAGTTTGTGGTACCCTAGTATAAAGTACCAAGATATATTCTAGGCTAAATGCTTATCGTATTCCAGAGAATTTGCCAAACTCTGCTAGGGCAGTTGAACACCTCCTCTGCTTCATCCATATACCTTCTTTGCGGTTTTGTGCCAAATTTTTTTTTTTGACAAAGTTAGCAGAAAAAAGCTATTCACGCGAGAAACATTTTTTTTACATTTAAGCAGTGCAAGTCCTTTTACGGATTAGGCTTTATGTCTTATTCCCCCCCCCACCCCCAATTCTTTAAAGCTCTATCTACAAAGGTATATCTTCTTGATCGAAGTAGACGATTTTTTTTTTTTTTTTAAAAATCTGATTAGATTTTTTTAGGTCACTTTTTTGTGGAGGGAGAAATGATTTGTCTGTAAATTGCAGAAATGATTTCCAATTTGTCAGAATCCAAAATTCCTTTTTTTTTGTTTTTTGTTTTGTTTAAAAATCCAGGATTGTTCCCCTTCACCCAAATGTTTAATGGAGACTTAGTTGTTTGCTCTCGTAAGCCGAGCACATGTTTTCCCTTCCTGAGCGAAAAAGGATGATGGTTTTGGTCTGCCAAAGTTTAACTCAACAATGAGTAAATTTTGCAGTTCTCATACTGACATAGCCACTGCTTTGTGAGGATAAATATCTCCCTTCTGACTAGAAATAAATTTGCTGAGAATTATGCATGCTGATATTAAATGTGGGCCGTTTTGTTTTCCAGTGTGTTAAACCCAACTTAGGAGAAAGGATTGCCAGCAGATTTCATGCTTCCTATAATTAAGGGTGCATCCTTTTTTTAAATAACATTCTCTCGTAAGCTAGCCCATCAATTCTCAGAACAGGAAGCTCCTTTGCATAATGTTTTTTTTTTTAAATGAACAAATGGACCTTATTTTTGTTTCCAAGAGAGGAGAGTTTTATATCCTCCCCCTCTACCCAACATTTAGTTCTTGGCTATGTTTCTGTGAAGACAGCTGTCTCAAACTCTACTTAACTTGAGAATCCCCTTGAAGGAATTTTTTTTTTTTCAAGATAATGCGCTT